TCATGGTAATAACGTCCTGTACTTCTGGTTAGACAGGTTGTGGTGAAGATTACTACTCTGTTTTTGTTTAAGGAGCTCTGAACGAATTCACATGTAAGCCATACTGCCTAAGTGGTAAAGACCTAAAAGTAGGAAAAATGTGGTTGGGCATAATAGTAATTGCACGAACAGGATAAATTATTTTAAAATAAGGATGAGCTATAGTTAGGTCTAGACTAAAAGATTTTTCAATTATTAACTATAACCAGAACTTTCGACTACTAAACATGACTTTTCTAGATGCATGATCCAGTAATTTTATTTACGGTAGCATTTAATAGCTTATTAACGTTTACTGCACCTCTGATGATACATTGTAAGTTAGTCATTATCCAACAGCTCTAATTTAAAAATGAAATATGAAATAAATTTGATAGTTTTTTATAAAAAAAAATTCAACAGGACATTTTTGTAGAAACAGACAAGATGATTCCAAAACCTATATTAAAATTCTTTTTTTTGTATTACATTTTTTTAAACCTCAAATAAGCTAAAAGAACCATGAATACAAACTTGAAAAATACACACTACCTTGCAAATTATTATTAGTATTTTCTTTTGCAAATTATTAAAAAGACATAATAGTGGGGGCTGGTGAGATGGCTCAGTGGTCTAAAGCACCTACTGAGAACACGCTAAGCTAAGCAAAGCACAGGGACCGGGGTTCAATCCCCCAGCACCACATGCCAGTCAGCCCTGCCCCCTGGTGGGCTGAGCTGGCCACACACACACACACACACACACACACACACACACACAAATAAATAAACCAAAAAAAAAGACATAATAGTCACTGTGGTACTAATTTAAGATAGTTACACAGCATTCATATTGTTTTTTAAAAATTTTATTTATGTGTGTGTGTGTGTGTGTGGCCAGCTCAGCCCACCAGGGGGCACGGCTGGCTGGTATGTGGTGCTGGGGGATTGAACCGGGGTCCCTGTGGTTTGCTAAGCTTGTTCTAAGTAGGTGCTTTAGACCACTGAGCCATCTCACCAGCCCAGCATTCATATTTTGCATATAAACAGAAGTCAATAGAGTCTACAAATACAGCCACAAATATGGTCAAGTAATTTGTACTGTGATAAATACAAGGCAAAATTGGTTATTTTAATAATTTCAAATGTAAAGTTTTATGGCACTAAGTACATTCACATGTTCTGCAACATCACCAACATCCAACAGAAAAACTTTCATCTTTCTAAATTAATTAAACAGGGGCTGGTGAGATGGCTCAGTGGTCTAAAGCACCTACTTAGAACAAGCTAAGCTAAACAAAGCACAGGGACCGCGGTTCAACCCCCCAGCACCACATGCCAGCCAGCCCCGCCCCCTGGTGGCTGAGCTGGCCACACACACACACACACACACACACACACACATAAATAAATAATAAATAAAATAAAAAAAATTAATTAATTAAACAAACAAAAAAATAAACAAAAAAAAAAATTAAACAGCAAACTCTCCATGCTCCCTCCCTCAAGGTCCTGGCAACCACCATTCTACTTTGTATTTCCATGAATCTGACTACTCTACTACCTCTAAGAGGAATCACATAACATTTCCCCCCTTATCACTGGCTTCTATCACTCAACCTCATGTTTTCAATGTCCATTCATATTGTTGCAGATAAAAGAAGTTTTTAAAAGCTGAACAGGGGGCCGGGGAGATGGCTCAGTAGGATAAGCGCTTGACTGGCAAACGCAAGGATCTGAGTTCAATCCCCGGTTCTGAAAAAAAAAAAAAAAAGCTGAACAGTATCCCTTTTCTGTAATCTCCACATTGATGGACATGGGTTGTTTTACCTTTTGAATACTGTGAACACTGCTACTGGATGTCAGCTACTTTTAAAAAATTGTTTTAATAACTTCATTTGGTTTGTGTATTTTTCATTAAACAGAATATAGTGTAGGAGCTGCATTTTATAGTTACTGTTTGTTTTTGGTCTTTTTTCGATTTTACTGTATATTTTTGGTTGAATTGTTTTTTAGGGAATGTTTATTTTTTGGTTTTGGTGCCGAGGACCAAACCCAGGGCTTCCTGCTTGCTAGGCAAGCATTCTACCACTGAGCCAAATCCTCAGCCCCTGGAGCTGCATTTTAAACATTGTGTCAATTTGGCTGTTAGGTCCTTTGGAAGGCATAACATTACTTAGGGGTGGATCACTGTTGGCCAGAAAGAGTAATTCTCACACAAGGGTATCAAACTTAAATTCAGGTAATCATGTTATTTACCCAAATCTGGCTTTCTTCTCAATATACTGAGTTCCTTTTTAACAGGTAACTATTGCTTAGTCTAAAGCTTCTTCTCATTGTACATGGTAATGTAGGCAATTAGTTTTGATATTCTATGGAAATCTTGTAACCTGTAAAAATTATCTCCCCATATCATCTTGACGTTCCTGCCAAAAATGATAGTATTTTCTGTTACTGGACTTGTTTCCTGTTCTATAAGCTTTTATCATCCATTGTTTTGGGGGTTTCAATTAATTTTTTTAAAATTTATTTGTTTATTTATTTATTTGTGTGTGTATGTGTGTGTGTGTGTGGCCAGCTCAGCCCACCAGGGGGCGGGGCTGGCTGGCATGTGGTGCTGGGGGATTGAACCGCGGTCCCTGTGCTTTGCTAAGCTTGGTCTAAGTAGGTGCTTTAGACCACTGAGCCATCTCACCAGCCCTTCAATTAATTTTTATAAAATATTTTCATTGAAGAAAAAAAACCCTAGGGGCCGGGGAGATGGCTCAGAGAATAAGTGTTTGCCTGGCAAGTGCAAGGGCCTGCCTTCAATCCCAGGTTTTGCCAAAAAAAAAAAAAAAAAGAAAAGAAAAAAAGAAAAGAAAAGAAAAGAAAATGGTAAGGAACCAAGAATTGGAAGGAACAGGGAGGGGTAGGAGGGCTAGGGCACAAAAAAGAATTAAGATGTGTTATATACCTGTACCAATTCCCTACAATGAGTTGTAATCATTACATACTACAAACATGTACTAATAAAAAAAGATTTACAAGAATTGTATAAATTGATTTAATCCAAATCATAGCTTTAAACTGGAATTATATTGTATAAACTAAGTAAATAAAATTACGGATCTGGAATATTTGCAAAGCATGTAGTTGACAAAGAACTTATGTCTTGAATACACAAAATTCTTACTCATAAGTCAAAAAACATACCCCTAAGTCAAATAAACCAGATACACATGTACAAATATTATACTGTCTCCCTAGTGTGAGAAGCAAACAGGGTAAATAAGATCCAAGGTATACAACAGATACTGTGAAAGGGAAAGAAAATGTTCAAATGCAAAATATATGAACACATACTTAGCCTGATAAAGTATGAGGACAGAAAATAAGCATACTAGATGTTCAACATTACTTCTCATTTGGGATGTGCAAATTAATACCATAATGAGATATCACCACCCACTCCCTAGAAAGGCTGAAATGAAAAGAACAAAACAGGGCTGGAGAGATGGCTCAGTGGTCTAAAGCACCTACTTGGAACAAGCTTGGCAAACACAGGGACTGCGGTTCAATCCTCCAGCACCACATGCCAGCCAGCCGCGTCCCCTGGTGGGCTGAGCTGGCCACCCACACCCACACACACACACACACAATAAATGTTAAAATAAAAAAAAAAAGAACAAAACAAAAAACCCATCCATAGTGTTGTAAGAACAATTAAAACTTTCAAACAGTACTGATGAAAATACAAGCTACTACTACTAGTAGTAGTTCTACTACTTCTACTTAGGAAAGCACTTGTATACTAGCCATTTCACTTTGTGACAGTTAAGCAAGACCGTCAACTTGACTGGCTTGAAACTTGCTGAGGGGATCAGTAAACCAAACTCCTGGGTAGGTCATGGAGGGGTGACCTTGTGTACTAGATCTGATCCTTGGCCCTTTTTGCTTAGGGACTGTTCTTCCTGCTCTGCTTTCTCACTGCTAGGAATGAAGGAGTTTTGCTTGACCCTACTGCCATGCTACCTCTGCAAGGTGACTGTGGAGGGAGCCCTCTGAAGCCCATGAGCCAATAAAACCTTTCCTCACATAAATTACGCATGTCATGTATTTGGTCCCAGGTACAAAAAGCAGATCAACAGACACTCACAGAAATTTACCCAGATAAATACAAGTATATGTCCACACAAAAACCTATATGCCAGTGATGGTGAACCTTTTAGAACTAAGTGCCCACACTGTAATACAAAACCTATTTCTTTACTGCAAAGTGTCAATACTACAATAAAACCTGACTACTGAAGTTTCAGTGTAGAAAAGAACACACCCATTAACACCTTTTATCTCAAAAGGAGAACACCACAAGAAGCATGTCACAGGTTCACTATCACTGCTCTATGGAAATATTCACTGCAGCTTTATTTGGAATAGCCTGAAACTAGAAAAAACCCAAATATTCACATGCTAGTGAAGAGGTAAATAGTAGCATATTCACATGGTAGAATACTACTTAGGAAAAAAAACCCCAAACTATCAATACACAATTGAATCTCAAAACAATGATACTCAGCAAATGATGCCAGTAAAAAATGGGGAAAGGTAACTGCATGATTTCATTATAAAAATTCTAGAAAATACAAATTATGGCAAAAGATCACCATGATGGCTATGTCATTTTATTCTCATTATGATCTCACAGGTTTATATCATCTATATCAAAATTCATTGTACACTTTAAATATACAGATAGCTCAGTTCACAAACTCAATTCTTTCTATCATTCTAGTTGCAAACTGAACTAGACTAGCACCAAATCACATTTCTCCATAAGGTCAACAATGAAGCTAACCATTAAATTTGATACAGTTCTTGTCCAACTTCGTTTGTGGCCAGAATTTTGGAAAGAATCAAATTTGAGAATCAAGGCACCACAGTATGTATTTTATATGTTGATTATATCTTGATAAAGCTATGAAAAAGAGAAAGAAAACTTACAGAAAAAAGTCCTCTTCTTCATCTGAATCATCTTCCAAAAGATTTCTCTGTCAAAAAAAGAAAAGAAAAAGATTGAGTTTTCAAATGCGTAAGTCCTAAAAAAATTTCAAAGAGGAGTAATGAAACAAGTTTCCTATATTAGTGATATTTAACTATAAGCTTCCAGGCAGAGAGAATAATTACATACACTTACTGGAAACTAAAAGGCATGGGACAATCTGCCTATGTTCTAAAGAAATGCTTGTAATTCCACAGCTGACAGTGCAGGTAGCCAAGAAGGTACAATCCCTTCTTTCTACTGCCTTCCAGTCTCTCTCTCTAGTAGCAGAACTTAACAGGGAGCCAAGTAAAAGAAAAAAGTTTCTAGAGTTCAAACAAAGTGGAATAGAGGAGTAAATCTCAGAGCTGAGAGAGGAAGGCTTAATAACTGACACAGTTCACCTACGCAGTCTATAAACTGCATTCTACATAAATTTGCACTTCAAAACAAAAGCAACTTCATATTTTTACCTTCTAAACCAGAATAATCTTCCTTAAAATGACGCTGGCCTTACTATGTACCCAAGAGGGAAGACAAAAATTCCCAAAGAACACTAAAGAGCAAAACCAGAACTTTCAGACATAAAACAACTTCAACAGTTTTCACTTGTAAACAAAACAATGGCTCTCCGTGCCTGAATCACCAAAATCTGTGAATGAGTTAACCTGCATGTTTCATGGATTACTCTTATGGACCCAAGCTAAGAGAAAGCAAGTAGGGAGACAGGGAAGGGGGAAGGGACAGAGATGGAGGGAGAAGGGAGAGAGATGGGGAGAGAGACACACAGGAAGGGCTGGAGTCAAAAAAGCCTCCAAAAGCTTGGAAGGCAAGAAAACATTTTTTTCTCCTAGACCTTCTAGAAGGAAAACAGTCCTTCTGGTACCCTGATTTTAGCCCCATGAGTCCCATTCTGAACTTCTGATCACCAGAAGTTCAAGATAGTAACTTTGTGGTATTTTAAATTTCTGGTAATTTAAAAAAAAAATGTATTTAGTATTTTAGTACATTCTTAGTCTACAAGGTCTCACTCTGTAGATCAGACTCATAGTGATCTTCCTGTTTTTCAGTCTCCCAAGTGCTGGGATTACAGGTGCCTGTGCCACCACACCCAGGGTCAGTCACCAACTCAGTGCTCCCCGGGGACCAGGCCAGCACAAGTTTTTTGTTTGTTTTGTATTTTAGGAAAGGGTGTTAGGGTCTCACTACTAGATGGGACTCAGTGATCCACCTGTTTACAGCCTCCCAAGAGCTGGGGTTACAGGCAGGCCACCACACCCAGTAGAGCCACCACGCCCAGTCTCAATTGCCATCTCAGTGCGGCCCCAGGGGCAGGGCCTGCTGGCCCAGGATGAACACCTGAAGGTACTTTAATCTGATGAGCTATTTGGCTGGCCCATGTTTGTTTTTTTAATAGAATACAAAATGAATACTTCACCCATGTACCTTTTTGAGGAAATTACTGAAGAAGTGACAACAGCCAAAATAAAGATCTTTAGAGATGAATACAATCAAAGAATCTAATAAAATATGTGGACAAATTTAAGTGTCGATAAGATTTTATTATATGCAAGATAAAGCTATTGAAAAAGAAAAGGCATAATAAAGAGAAGATTTAAAAAACCAAAAACTAGTCCTAGCAAAGCTCTGAAGCTGGCAGTGGGAGCATGAAGTGAGGAGGCAAAGACACACTTGTGTTCATTTTGGTTAGAAGTGGAAGGAAGGAAAGGAGGGAAGGAGGGAAGGAGGGAAGGAGGGAAGGAGGGAAGGAGGGAAGGAGGGAGGGAAGAACAGACTGGAGAGGGGCTAAAACCATAAAGCAATGGGAAGCACACAGCTTTTGGTGTGGTGACAGAAAACACAGTTTAAACATTACTGTTAATGTTTAAAGTTAGTAACAAAGACCTAAAGAGAGAATGGAGAAAGGGAGTAAAAGTGCTAAACTTCCTAGTGACTACAGAGGCAAGTGAGAAATGAGGAAAAATAATCCAGCAACGGGCATAAAAGAGGGAAAATGTAAGAATACAAAGAATATCATTACATCTATGTAAAATAATATAATGAGAAAAACAAGGAAGGGGGATATATTCAATATGCACTTAGGTATTCCTGAGCATTTTCTAAGTGCTAGGCACTGTTTTAAGTATCACGTACCAGGTTTGAACAAGACAGGTCTTAATCATCACACAAAAAAGTGACTGCTAAATGGTATGCAGAGGATTAAAGCAGTGATAGATGGGACAGAAAGGGACGGGGACTGCAGGAAATTAGGCTATCATGAAAAACCATTCTGAGAGGTGAAATTTAAGCTGAGATCCAAAGGATAACGAAGAGCCAGATACAATCAGGGTGGAGAACATTCAATGCTGGCAGAGGGGCCAGCTGGCACAGAACAAATCCAAATATTATTAATTCTCATCACAAATGGGAATGGTCTGAGTGTATCTTTCAAAACAAAAACCACATGTGACTGGAATTAAAGAAAAAAATTGTGCTAATATCCGTTTACAAGAAGTTCACCTAAAATGTCAAATAATGAGGGAGAGGTAGAAAAAAATAGAGAAGATACATCAACAAATTCTAATCAAAAGCATGTTAAAAGTTAATAATCTAAAAAGAAATTTTAGGATAGACCGTTAAACAATCGCACAAGATTTCAAAATGGCAAACGCTAAATCCACCAAGTGGATTCACAGCAACAAATGTTTATATACCTTAACAATATAGTTTCAAAATATGTGAAACAAAAGCTGCTCAAGTTATAAAAACAAAATGTACTATGATCCAATTTGGTTTTTAGATTTTTTTTTAGATGATGAAGTGTGATTATTATAGTTGTAAACAGAAATACACACGAAAATCTGTGCTTTCCACATTCACTGAACAAATAAGAGTGTTAAGCACACAATGTTAATAAAGTATACTGGACTACAGTTAAGACCCTGCATCAGGCTCACTATAGGCAGCAGTAACAACTATTGACATGGATACGGTGGGCAAGTGGGAACCCTTACACATTGCTGGTGGGAATATAAAAACTCTGCAATCACTCTGAAAACAGTTCAGTAGTTCCTTAAAGGATTGAGTATAGGGCTACTAAGACACCTGGTCATACCACTTACCTAAGACAAAGGAAAACATATGTTCAAACCAATATTTGCACGCTAATATTCATAGCAGGAGTATTCATAAGAACCAAAACACCAATGTCCATCAACTACTACTACATAACTAAATGTAGTACATCTGTACAATGGAATTTGATCCAGCAATAAAAAGGAATGAAATATTGATCCATACAACACTGACAATAACAAAGCTAATAATAAAAAGCTATAAATTGTATTTTTTTTACAGAAAATGTCCACAATAGGTAAATCTGTAGCTTTTTGGCTGTCTGGGGCTGAGGAAGAAGAAAATAAGGGTAACTGATGACTGCTAAAGGGTACAGAGTTCCTTTTCTTTCTCTTATTTATTATTTATTTTCTGTATTTAGCACAGGGTCTATAGGGTCTCACTACACAGATCAGACTCACAGTGATCCTCCTGTTTTCAGTCTCCCAAGTGCTGGGATTACAGGCACGCACCATCATGGCATGCCGGAGCCACGCTCTGACTAAACAGGCGCTTTAGTCCACTAAGCTATCCAGAGTTACTTTTAGGAATGATGAAAATGCACCAGGACTCACTGTGGTGCTGGTGATGCAACACTGAGTATACTAAATCCAACAGACTATATATTTTAAATAGGTGAACTGCAAGTCATATGAATTATTTATCAATAAAGCATAAAATCTGTAACAAAGTAACAGAACTTTAAAAAGTTATTACAGATAATTATACCAGTTATGAAATATTACAATCTGGCAAATATCCAATGGGAAGACTCTAATTACACTGTCAATTTTATCAAGTTCGGATGGCATCTAAAATCCTATTTGTACAATAAACTGCGGCAGTAATTAAAGCACAAAGTAAAGAGGAAATAACATAGTCACAGTTTCAGTAGAACTGACTGAGACTATGCTTTTATCATTTGGAGAGGGAATCTCACCTAAGTCACTAAGTTGCCCGGTCTGAGTTCAAGTTTGTAATTCTCCTGGCTCAGCCTTGAAGAATGCTGAGATTACAGGTGTGTGCTACCATTTCTGGTATACGTTGTATTTTTAAATACATACATAAAGCTTATTTTAAAACAAGTAGGTTCCATCCCCAGTACCAGGGGGAAAAGATCTAGGGTTGGACATGGTGGCCTATACCTATAATTCCAGCTACCTGGAAGGCTAAGTAGGCTATGCACCGCAACTGCAAGGTCAGCCAGCATAGATTACTAAATACTTAACAACTGGACTACTAAAAACTTAACAAGACCCTCTTGAAACAACAAGAAAAGTGGAAGATGCAGCTTAGTACAAGAAAAGAAAAAGAAAGAAAGAAAGAAAGAAAGAAAGGCAGGCAGGCTACATACTTAACAACTGGACTACTAAAAACAAGACCCTCTTGAAACAAGAAGAAAAGTGAGGATGCAGCTTAGTACAAGAAAGAAAGAAAGACAGATTGACTGACCAACTGACCGACCGACTGGCCGGCCAGCCGGCTGGCCGGCAGGTCGGCCAGCAGGCAGGCAGGCCGGGGAGATGGCTCAGTGGAATAAGCGCTTCCCTGGCAAGCACAAGGACCTGAGTTCAATCCCCAGTTCTGCCAAAAAAAAAAAAAAAAAAGAAAAAAGAAAAGAATGAATCAGTCTTTTGGTGGACTCTACTTCCCCATCAAATTAGAAAAGAAAATACGTAGGAAGAGTTAGAATAAGAGAAAGATAAAACTTTTTTGGACTGCATTAAAAGATAATTCTAAATCATAAAATGCTGAACGCTGGACAGAGTGGGTAATATGAGCTTCTGGGGTTGCAAGGTTGTAAAAACAAAGAGCATATAAAACAAGGACATGTGCACTCAAAGCTTTCTAAGGGCAGTGAATACGCCCATGTCCTCTGCGTTCTAATACAACACCTAGCACATTGTGGGTGGTCAATAAATACTTATTTAATGAATCAGTAAATGAAATGATGACAGGAAGAAAGGAAGTGAGGATGATTTCAGACAGCTAGAAAAAGAAAACTAATTCAAATATTTCTTTCAGCATTTATTCTAACAGTAATCTCTCTACAACAATCACAACAAAGGTTCTTGTCCAAAGTACTGCATACAGTAATTTCCAGAGTTTCTGCCTCCCTCCTTTCCTCCCTCTCCCCTTTTCTCCGATTCTTTTTAAGATGCTAGGGAATGAACTTAGGCCCTGTTGCATGCCAGACAAGTGCTCTACCACTGACCTACACACAGCCCCTAATTTCTAGGTTTATACATATTTATGTAGAGTATCTGGAATGAACTACATTTGAAGCATTACATAAAGATACTCTGGACTACTGAGATAATCACAGGTCCAGAATTCATTACCTACAACTCCAAAATCTAAAAATTTTTGTAAGCCATGGGTATTGTTAAGTTTGGTGTCAAAACTTATTTGGAGGAAAACTGTTTTATGTTACTGGTCGGTGCGGAAAGAAACGATAAGACCTGATGAATGTAGCTTCAGAGGTCTCACTAAATTTAGTGTCTCTCAAATTGAGCCCAGAGCCTCAGAGGCATCTTACATTTATCGAGGGGTAAAGGCAGACTAAGGAATGTGCATAATTACCTAAGTGAATACAAACTACTGTCTCTATTGACTTCTACCATTTGCTTAACACTAGGTCCACACAAATGCTAGCCCATAACATCCCAAGCAAGGGATCAAAGGACAGGGCGCCTGCAGGAGAAGCTGTTATCTGCTGCCTTGGGTCCCAGCTTTCCGGGAATTTGCAAACAGACAGCAACCCTCCTCAGGCTCAGTCCAGGGTGCCCTGCTCTCTTGAGACATCAGGCTTTTGTATCTCTACAGAAAACCTCACCTGCACTGGTATTAGCTAATTCATTTTCATATTCCGTTAGATAATCACATATTTCACTAAAAAACATTAACAGATTTAGAGGTGCTGGCCTAGGCTGTTTTGTAATTTGCAACTTTTTTCAATATGAAAAATTCTGAAAACAAATAAATATATTTAAGTTCAGAATTCCGTGTAAGATTTCTATTTGTATAAAATTTTCCTTCAAAGGGTCTGGGGAGATGGCTCAGTAGAATAAGTGCTTCCCTGGCAAGCGCAAGGGCCTGAGTTCAATCCCCGGTTCTGCCAAAAAAAAAAGAGTAAAATTTTCCTTGAAAGAAACTGTGCACACAATGATTTGATCAATGATGGAAATGGAATTCAGTGAGCCATCAATCTTTTTAATGCTTACTATGAAGAGAACAAGTAAGGTTAGAGTGTTGTGCACCAGAACACTGTACCCCAAAGTGAAGGACTCTGAAGCTGCCTCAGTAGGAAAGTTTGTCCCTGATCTTTTTCTGTCACTGTGATCATTTTCCCCAAGGCAAGCCACAGAAATTCAAATTTCTGTTTCTTAAAGTTATGTACTAGAAACCAGAAACCCTGTTCCTCAACACCAGTCCTAAAACTCACAAATATTATGCACCCCCCCAAAAAAAAACCTTAAAAAAAAAGCCCAGGCATGGTGGCACAAGCCTGTAATCCCAGCACTAGGGAAGCAGAAATCAGAAGGATCACTACGAGTCAGAGCTGCATAGTGAGACCCTACCAAAAAAAAAAAAAAAATTACCCCAATCTTCTACTTTTCCATGTTAAGAGTTGGCTATAAAATTATTCTCTAATACACCTTGTTTGGGGCCAGTGAGATAGCTCAGCAGCCTAAAGCACCTGCTTAGACAAGCCTAGGAAAAGAACAAGGACTGTGGTTCAATCCCCAGCGCTGCATGCTATGCTGGCCCTGCCAGCCCTGCCAGCCCCACCCCCAGGGTGGGCTGAGCCAGCCACAGAAATAAATAAATAAAATAATAAACTTAAAAAAAAAAAAAAACAAAAACCTTGTTTGTTGGTCATAAGACCTCCATCTTTTTTTTTTTTTTTTTTTTTAATGTATTTGGTACAAGGCCGACAGGGTCTCACTACCCAGATGGGACATGTAGCAATTCACCTGTTTTCGGCCTCCCAAATGATGGTATTACAGGCACATGAGTACCACACCCACTCTTAATCTCCCTTTCAGCATGCCCTGAGGGCGGAGCCAGCACTGCACACCTGGGGGATCAGACCCCAACCTAAGAACTCCATCTTAAGTGGAGTCCTACCCAGCACTCAGAAGGAAGGAGTGACATTGAGAGGCGGAGATAGGCTGTCTGAGTTTCCCTCCCTCCCCCTGGGCTATCACTATTAGATAATAGCTATTCTGTTCAATCATTTTTGTATATGGCTACCCCTGCTAAACATAAAAATGGACAGCTCACTCTGGGTTTTGAGATCTTCAATGTGAAGGCTCCAATGTCATGTAAAACTATGACCAAATCTGCCACACTTTTTTCTTGTTAACCTGTCTTCTGTCTTAGGGAATCAGCGATGTCCCTTCAGAACAAACAGGGAAGGGATCAGCCCCTTTTCTGCCCCTGTAATAGCCATAAACTGTAGATTTCTTTATCATTTATAAAAGAAATAAAAACATTTTGAATCTTTCTTATTTCAAAGCTTAAGATTCTGAACTTACTGGGCATGGTGGTTCAATCCTGTAATCCCAGCGCTTGGGAAGCTGAAGCTGAAGGACTCCCTAGAGTCCGAGGCCAGCCTGGGCTACTTAGTGAGGCTATCTCAAAGAAAAAAAAAAAAAAATCTCTCAACTTACCCTTTCACTTTTCACAGAACCAGTGACATCATCATCATTTAGGTGGCGCTTAAATTTGGGAGGCATATTTTTTATTCTTGGAGTACTTTTTTATTTCCCAGTAGAGTATTCACCACCTGAAGAAGAAAATAAATTTCATTACATTTGAGAATACTACTAGAGATAAGAGGAAGTACTTCAAATGGTGTACAAGGTCTTGTATGGTGGGCTTCCCCTCACTTTTCTGACTATTCTACTCCAGTGACCCAGGTCTACTTATTAGGTTTAAAGATTGCAATGTCCCTAAGAAAACACATGGAGGAAATGAGTAAATTAGGGATTTTATAAAATAAAGCAGTAGATTATATAAAAATGGGGTAAAATTGGAGATAGTTCTTGTGTAAATGTTAACATGTTTTGTGATTTTAACTTGGAGTCAGAAAATAGCAGTATGCATCTAATTCTCTCAGTTGGTAAACAATGGTTGTTTCCTTGGGTGTAGAAGAGTGACTCTTACAGGGAGTGCAGTATGGAGTTGGGATAGTCACACCAAGTAATACATGCAGTCACCTGTAAACTATCAGGTCCCACAGGAGCTCTATGAAAAAGGCTTATGTTTGGTAAGTACTGGTGTGATATTGTGATATATAACGCAGCAATTGCCTGTGTTGGGGCCGGGGAGATGGCTCAGTAGAATAAGTGTTTCCCTGGCAAGCACAAGGGCCTGAGTTCAATCCCCGGTTCCAGGGGAAAAAACAACAACAAAAAAGCACTGCCTGTATATATATAAGTGCTTACTATTTACCTAGCTTAGATCTTCCTCTTGTTTCTTCACATATAGTTTGTAAAACCCTTACTCATCTCAGGGTGATGTGTGATTTTTCTTTTTTGTTGTTTTGTTTTTGCTAATGAGATGGCTGGTGGCAGGCAACCCCCAAGTAGCTTCACAGCAGAGGTGAGTCACAGGAAATACCAAAACATGATTAAATGGTTGGGATGTTTCAGCCTCACCCACCCCTAACCTCCAGGGAGGAAAGAAGGGCTATCTGGTTGCTAATGGCCAATGCTACAAACCATTATGGCTACTAATGAAGCTTTCATAATAATTCAAAAGGACAGTGTTCTAGAGAGCTAAACATACAGGGGTTTTGCAGGGTACCATGCCTCACTGTGTCATGGAAGCTTTGAGCTCCTTCTTCCACACCTTGCCTTATACATCTGTTCCATCTGAGTCTGCATCCCTTGTAATATCCTTTGTACTAAACCAGTAAATGTAAGTAGTGTTTCCCCAAGTTTTATGAGCTACCAAATTAACTGAATCCAAGAAAGGAACTGTGGGTACCCCAGTTTTGGTTGGTTATTCAAAAATACAAGTATAAGGGCCAGCCAAATAGCTCAGCGGATTAAAGTGCCTGCTCAGGGGCCAGAGGTTTGATCCTCAGGCCTGTCATGCTGGTCCTGCTCCCTGGGGTGTGTTGAGAAGGAAATTGAGACTGGGTGTGGTGGCATGAGCCTGTAATCCCAGCTCTTGGGAGGCTGTAAACAGGTTTATCACTAGGAGTCTGATCTAGTTGTGAGATGCTGAACACCCTGTAGACCCTTTCCTAAAATAAAAAATAAAATTAAAAAAACCAAAACAAAACAAAAAAACCCACAACAACCTAAGGCCTGTAACAAGTATTGGTGGTAGGAGCAACCTCGTGGCACTGAGCCCGCAAACAGTGGGATCTGATGTTATATCTCCAGGCAAGTAACATCGGAAATGAGTAAGTGAAAACATAATCTGGAGAATCTGCTGCAAAATTGCTTACTTGTGGATGAGGAAAAAACTCCCACACATTTTGGGGTCACTGAAGTGTTTTGTGAGAGGAGAAATGACCTGTTTTCGTATATTAAAACCACCAGGGGCTGTCCTGATAGCTCAGTGGATTAAAGTGCTTGCTTAGACACAGGGAACGGGTTTTGATCCCCAGTTTACAGTACTGGCCCTGCCCCCTGGGCATGCTGAGACAGTGATTGAGACTAGGTATGGTAGGCATCTGTAATCCCAGTGCTTGGGAGGCTGAAAACATGAGGATCAGTGAGTGGGATCTGTGTAGTAAAATCCTACAGACCCTGTACTAAATGGAAAAAACAAAACAAAACAAAACAGGTTATAGCTCAATGGCTTAAATTCCTGCCTGGCAAGTGCAATGACCTGAATTCAATCCCTGGTACCAAAAAAACAAGTGCTTGAGTATGCAACATTATCAAAATTTTCTTGGAAAAAAAGCTGTCCTATGTATATATGAATTTTCAGTATTTTGGACCAAATGATAGCTAAATATCTAGGACTTCAGAATACCTAAAATGTACTGAATGTTTCCTATGGGCTTGACACAAATATGCATACATTTTCTGAGTAGTTCACAATCATTTCAGTCCTCAGTGTTATACACACATTTTCCCTTTTATTCTTTATGACACCCTAAAGTAAGTACTAAGACTTAGTAAAGATAATAGTGATAGTCCCCTCATTCACCAAAACCCTTAAATCAATGGCTATGTATGACCAGTTTTAAAAAGTATTCAATTAGTTGCTATTGAGTTAAACAATTCTGTTCTAGAAACATGTAATTCCTTGTCACAACCCAGTAGCCCTCCATCTTCTCCTGAAAGAAAAAAATCACGTATAGACGTTGTATGTCTCATAAAGTTATATAAATGCTTTTAATGATGTCTAAATCAGATACAAACATTAGTTTGTTGGTTAATATTATACACTAAAAAAAATACAATCAGCTTATAGTTTTATAAATCAGATTAAAAACAGTATTTTAATTCGGTTTCCTGTCAAAACAAACACAAATACTTTTCTTTCATTAAAAAGAAAAAAGCTTCCAAGCTAGAAACTGAACCACTTGAAACACAAACCAAATTCTTGCTACCTCAGTAAGAGCTCTAGAGTTCATTCTCCAATATTTCTGTCACGTACATCGGGCCCGCTTTATTTCTCATGCTTTGATTTCAGATTCATTCATGCAGAATGTTACAGACTGCACGGAGAAACAGATGACAAAGCAAATAACTGAAGAACTTGAGCTTTTCACCATATCTGTACTTTACCCATATTTAAAACCCTAAAAGGGGCAGCCTTAACACTCAGCAGACAACAGATTTACATAATCTCTTTACATAGAGTAAAAAGATAAAACTTTAATGAAGTGCAAATCTCATACTGAAGTTCCAGAGGATCAACGTCAGAAGGGTAGGAAACTTAGGTCTGGCAAACAGAAGAGCCATCAGCAAACCAGCAGGCAAACTAATTAGCTACACTTGATGGACCACTGGGCAACTGATGATATTTGTGCCAAACAACTCGTAGAAATAAACCGGGACCAGAAGTTAGAATCGTACATGTTCTGCCTAGGATTACACCTACAAAAAATTATTGTCATTTCAGGCAAGGATACACGTAAACGAGAGAGCCATCGTCATCTATTTCCACACCGAAGCTAAACACGACCACACAATTTATTTACGCTTTAATGCCCTGTGCCTCTCAAACCAACATCCTATACTTAAATTCTCACATATGCATTTTATGAAGTGGCACCTTCTCTATTAAATGGCGCATTCTAACCAATTACACATTTAAACTTGCAACCTATTCTTTAATAAATACTGGCTTTTGTTGTTGTTGTTTGGTTGGTTTTACAGAACAACAACGACTTCCTCCGTATCCACTTCACAAAAAGCTTGCATCTGGCAGACTTTCCTTTTCCCAGCCATCACTCTCCTTCCTACTCCTCTTCTTCATTTCTCATTCGCCGTTTCACAGAAATAAAGTGACTCCGAGGGACCCAGACTAGAGACGACACTCGCAGAGCCCGGCGGCGTAAGGAAGCACCCCCACCTTCCGGGCATCAGGAACACAGCAGGGTTGGCGCTCTTTCTCCGAAGCCCTTGGATGGAGGATCAACCCCGTCTACTCCAGGGGCAGCTCCGCTCACTCCGCCCCACCCGCAGCACCAGGCCACGTACCCCAACACCTGCTCCTGCCTCTGGTCCTTCGGGTCCCAGGACGCCGTCCTGCGCCGGGCTGCCCCGGGCACTCGTCCCTTCCCAGGGCGCCCCTCCATTCCAATTCTTCTTCCTCTACACCGCCCCCACCCGCACCCAGCGCCCGGCTTCCTCCCTCCCGCACCGGGGCCCCCAGGCTTCCCCGCTCGGGGCTCCCTCCCCTGACCCCGAGGCCCGCGCTCGGCCGACCGGACGTTGGGGGGCGGCGGGCAGGGGCGTCGTCTCCGTTTCCTTCCTCCTCACACCTGCCATTCCCACAGGAACAGGCCGGCGCCAGTACCTGAGGCTCCGGGGAGCTCCCGGCAGCTCTCTCGGGCAATGTGCGGCTGGTGGGCGGCCGGGGGTAGAAGCGGGGACCGAGGAAGACTGAGAAGAGGGGGAGACTGCGGGCGCGCACCCGGCGACGGCCGCTGCGCCGGAGCTGCGCCCCCGCTCATCGAGCCGATCGGTGCTCGGCGGCCTGGCGCCAGGCGAGGGGGCGGGGCCGGGCCGCGGAGATCGCCGAAGGAGTCGATTTGGCCTCCTTTCTTTACCTGGACGAGAACTCGGTTGGCCAGATCCGGGATCGTCGGGAGTTGTACCTTTGAAAGGGAGAACAGCTGGTTCTCGGGGTCCCGACCCGGGTCAGATCGCGTTCCGGGGTGGTGGAGGGAGCGCCTAGAGATCAAGGCTGGGCGCCGAGGTTGAAGGTGGGGCTTTGGGACAGGCCTGCCCCAGGCTAAAGGAGAGTTTTGGTTTTTGGTTTTCGGTTTTTTTGGTGGTACCAGGGATCGAACTCGGGCTAAAGGAGAGGAGTGGAGGGGCGGTGGGAAGATCTGCTTCTGGTCTTTGTTTACAGAGTCAGAGCCTGGAAGAGACCTGTTAGGATTCCCAGTCCAGTCTGCTCATTTAGGCAGCAGTAATCTCTGATCCCGAGAGGACATCTACTTCAATTCACAACGCTAATTGGACAGGCTTGGGACCAGGACTCAGTATGCTTTCCTCCTTACCTTTTGATTGTAACAGGACCTGAATAAAGCCCAGGAGCCTTCAGGTTTTAGGTGGGGAATGACCCTTGTGCGACCATTCTGCTGTTTTTGTCACTCTCCCACCCCCCACCCCTGTCTGTTTGGTAGAATGCCTGTTTAAACCTCCAAGCCTGAAGTAGTTGGGTGTAGAAATTCAAAGATTTTTTTTTTTTAAAGAAATCCAAGCCTGTCTGGATTGTTTAATGCATTAAAAATAATTTATTTACTACACACATTTTTAACTTAATATTTATGAGTTCTTTGCTCATATGGTGTTTTGTTTTGTTTTTGTGGTAACAGGGATTGAACTCAGGACTTTATGCTTGCCAGGCAGGCCCTTAAGCCACTGAGCTATATCTCCAGCTCCTCATATGGTGTTTTAACTGCGATACTGTGCCACTTTATAAAAGTATAGAAATAAGCAGTGTTCAAGACAAGAGAACAGGAAGAGGGAAGCTGTGGGAAAAGGGAAAGGGAGAGAACAGTCCTATCCACCTTCTCCCCCTCCTTTTATTTATTTATTTATTTATTTATGTGTGTGTGTGTGTGTGTGTGTGTGTGTGTGGCCAGCTTAGCCCACCAGGAGGCTGGGCTGGCTGACATGTGGTGCTGGGGGATTGAACCATGGTCCTTGTGCTTTGCTAAGCTTGTTCTAAGTAGGTGCTTTAGACCACTGAGCCATCTCACCAGCTCCACTGAGCCATCTCACCAGCCCCCATTGTACAGCTTTTATTAATAGCCTGTCTTTAATTTTAGCCCATAATTCTTTAATAATAGCAATTATTTTGGTGTGATTGCTTAGGGTATGGATATGCAAGCCCTACCCTAAGGGATGGTGGAGAATGAAGAAATAAAAAATCAGAAAACACAAAGCTGAGGTCGGGTGGAGCCCTCCCTCTGGATGGGAGAAAAAAAACTGCTCAAAGACTGCAGTGGGTTTATTTATACACTTGGCCAGCTGACCTCGTGTGACGCCCTCGGCCTCTCAACCCGTTTGCTTGGCTGCTTCCTGAGCCCGGTGCTCTCTGGGCTGCAGTAGCTTGTTCAGCTGGCTCGCCTCTGATGCTCTGCATATGTGGTCAGCTCCAGCTTCAGCCACGCCCCACAGCTAGATGAAGAAGAAGATACCTGATTTAAATCTGATTTGGACAGTTTGATCCTGTTTTAGTTAAATGGCAAAGGTCAAAAGTTTGCTAAGTGTTGGCTGTGTGGGGGTGGGGGATGGGGAATGGCACAGAAGGAACAACATTCTTACATACTTTGTCAGGATGAATGTAAATTGATGCAAAAGTTGTAACACTTGGTAAAAATATGTTGAAATTTTACATGAAGTTTGTTGACTGAACAATTCTGCTTATAAAATTTTTCTCATAGATGCACATGTTATATAAAAGTATTCTATAAAAATATTTTTGCAAGATACTTTTAATGACAAGATTTTTAAAAAGACAACTTTCAGGGGCCTGCCCATTAGCTCAGTTCTTTAAGTGGCTGCTTCAACAAAGCAGTCAGGCTCAGGTTGCTGTGGTTTGACCCCCACAACTCAAGCCAGCCAAACCTGCCCTCAAGGCATTCTGAGCCAGCCCCCCCCCCAAAAGACAACTTTCAAGGAATAGGAAATTGATCAAGCAAGTTATGGCATGTCCATTCAGTGGAAAAGTACACAGCCATTAAAATGAACTAGGTAGATGGACATATGCCAAAGCATGTAATATCTCTGTGATGTGCTGCTGAAAGAAAAGAAGTACAAAACAGTATGGAGATCCTATTCCCTCTGAGTATCACATTTTTATGCATGCCACAAGGACTGGAAATCTAGCATGGAAAGAGTTATGAACTAAATTGTATGCCTTCAGAGTTCATACATTGCTGGGGAGATAGCTCACTAGACTAAGTGCCTGCCTGGCAAGCATGGGGTCCTGAGTTAAATCCCCAGTGCAAAAAGAAAAAAAAAAAATTCATACATTGAAGCCCTAACCCTCACTAGCCCTAACCCTCACTGTGACTATATTTGGAGAGGCTTTATTGTAGTAACTCAGCTTAAATGAGGCTATAAATACAAAGTCATTATTCAGTAGGACTTGTGTGTAGGGACCTAGCGGAAAGGCCATGCAAGCATACAGTGAGAAAGCAGCCACTTATAATCCAGGAAACCACCCCTGCTGACACCTTGGTCTTGGACTTTGAGCTTCTAGAATAGTGAATATACAAATGTTTGTGTTTAAGTCACCCACTTTGTGGTATTTTGTTATGTTAGCCGTAGGCTAATTTAGGAGGGAAACCTTTTCTTGTTGTGTGCTGTTTTGTACCTGTTGAAGATTTTTATGGGGACTGTAAAATTACAACCAGGGGCCCGGGAGATGGCTCAGTAGAATAAGCGCTTGCCTGGCAAGCGCAAGAGTCTGAGTTCAATCCCTGGTTCTGCCAAAATAAATACATAAATACATAAATAATCATAGAGGCTTTCTTTTTCACTAAAATTTGGTTAGTTGTTCAGTTAACTTAAAAAGTCGGCTAACATGACACATTTTTATTTTATTTTATTTTATTTTATTTTTTTCAGGAGGATATAGAAATGTACCATTTTATTACAAAGAGTCTCACAAAAAATGAAAGTATCTCAAAAAAGGAAGCTAGACTACCAACCTCCACCTGCAGAACTGGGGAAGACAGGGCAGTGTGAGCTGCTTAGCTCATTTGGGCCCAGTGTAAAGGTATGAGAAAAAAATCTAAAAATGGCAGATGTTACTGTAGGAGCCCGA